AACTCAAGAGCCTCGTTTCCTTGGACTTGAGTTACTGTAAAAGTCTCAAGGAGCTACCAGAGGAAGTGGGCGAATTAAAAGATTTAGAGGAACTTCTATTATATCAATCTGGTATTACAGAGATCCCTACGTCTATTGGTTCTCTGAGGAAGCTGAAGAATCTGAGTGTCGAAGGTTGTAGGTCACTGAGAGAAATCCCTAGCTCAATTGGGGATCTACAGAATTTGCAACACCTGCACTTGAGTTATTCTGGGATTGAAAAGCTTCCCAGTGCTATTGGAAGGTTGACAAATCTGCGGACTCTAAGTCTCCGACAATGCAATAGTCTGAAAGGGGCAATTCCAAGTGAAATCGCTGACTTGTCTTCGCTCGAGATTCTCTGACATCGGTGGGGCACCGATATCTAACCTGCCAGAAAGCATCCAGAATCTTTCTTCTCTCCAACGCCTTTACCTAGGGTGCCGGTCGGTGCCAGAGCAGCTTCCTACGGGCTTAACGTATCTGCAGGTCACTTGTCATAGTCCCAGGTTGCCACATCTTTCTAGCCTAATCCACCTAGAAGAACTCCATCTTTGGGCATGCTATCTACTTGAATACATCCCCGAGCTTCCCTCAAGACTCTTGAAACTCCGTATTGAGAAGTGTGGTAAGCTGATATTGCTTAAGCTCGACGGATGTGAGTACTTGGAAAAGTTTTCAATAAAAAAGTGCAGTTCAATTGAAAGATTGGACCTTTCACAATCAATTTGTCTGAAACAATTATACGTTGAGGATTGCAATAAGCTAGTTGAAATTCAGGGCCTTAATAATTTGGAGCTCTTGGAGGACATATCTATAGATCACTGCAATTTCATTGAAAGGCTTATCTGTGTTGAATCATGGTGTTTGAAGGAATTACAGATATTTACTTGCAACAATCTAGTCGAAATTAGAGGTCTTGATGGTGCGAAGTTCTTAGAATATTTGGATATTGGAGGATGCGAATCAATGGAGACGTTGCCAAATTTGATGAGATGTGAGAAATTACGATCTCTATATGTTCAAGATTGCAAGAAACTTACTCAGCTTCGGGGACTTGAAAAGTTGGATTTAATTAATTTGAATATTTCTGGTTGCGACTCATTGGAAGCGATACCGAAATTATCCGGAATTTAGAAATTATGAATTAAAGCTGTTTTGCGACTCATGGAGTGATGTTTCCTCAACGAGGTAAATTAGCAAGTGAACAATCACTTTTCTTCTGAGATTCATGACCTACTTTTCATCACTATCTTCTTTTGACAAGAAGGTTTTCCATCACAGGGTTCTGATTCTGAGCTATCCTAAATTGCTAGTCTTACATAATTGAAGGAGTGGGGGAGTTGGTCATAGAAGCTGACATGATGCTTCAGCCAAGATGAAAATGTAGACCCAAATGACAATAAAAGGCATTGGTCATCTAGTAAGATTCTTCATCCTTGAACGGCCAGCATGAACGGATAGAGTAATACTTTTTACGAAGCTCTATTTTTTAAGAATGATTTGCTCCACTCCGGGTTTCTATTTGATTGATTTTGGAAACTCCATATATGCCTACGTATATTGCTGTTGGTTACGTTATAGCAATGCATTTCATTTATCCTTCCATTGACAGCTTTTATAGACTGCAAACAGATTAGCGGCTTGTGAGGCAAGGATGAAAATATCAAACATAGGTAAACAAGAATTCCCTAGTGATTTACAGTATCCCTCTCTGTAAACCTGGGATTTGAAATTTTCTTCTAGAGGCCGACGATCTTCTGCTACTCAATATTGTAAACAACACCCAGATTTTCCCTGTCCAAAATTCATATTTTCTTTGAAAAATCCTTGGCCATTTTGAATTCCTTTGTGAGTTGTCTTGTGTCAAATTTGACTAATGGCATATGTCCTGTTTGGGACAAACGCCTTTCGGTTTTTCGTGATAAACGAAAACCCTGTCAAGTTTCTTAATGTTCCCTTTATGTTCCTCTTGAGCCTTCTAAGAAGGGCTTCAATTCCCAGTAAGTATGATGAACTGAGCTAAAATAAAATATAAGGGTCAAGTGTTTCTGGTTGGTGATAAAAAAAAATGTTAAAGCAGTTTTGGCCAGTCTGTCATATATGAATGAACACCCCCTTAACATTACCAGTAGTCAAACTGTTGTTTTGAAATATTATCAAGGAAGGTAAATTGGTGCTACTGCTTCTGTGACAGGTTTGGTTGGTCTATGTAATGATCAAGGCTTACTTTGGGACTTCAATTCAATCAACTGTATTGATGACCTTTTGCATAATTGGACAATTTTTTGCCCATCTGTGAAACAAGCTAGGGCAAGGAACTCAAGAATTTGCTAATTAGTTTACATCCTATTTGATCCTATTGTTGTCATGAAATTGCTTATCACATGACTGATTTGGGTGTGGCTCACTTGGCTGAGAAACTTCAAATTCCAGACTTGAGACCGATCAAAATGAAGAAAAGGGATTTTGCAGAGGAAGCATCAGCAACAGCTGAGGACCATCTTGCGTGCCAACAGTGAGACAAGTCATGTATTTTTAACATAGGTAAATAAGCAGTAAATTATCATTTTTCTTCTAATATTCATGTCCTACTTTTCATCACCATCTTCTTTTGACAAGATGGTTTTCCATGACAGGGTACTGCACTTTCCTGAATTGCTAGTCTTACATAATTGAGGGAGCAGGGTAGTTGGTTGTAGAAGCGGACATGATGCTTCAGCCAAGATCAAAATGTAGACCCAAATGTCAATAGAAGGCATTGGTCATCTAGTGAGATTCTTCATCCTTGAACAGCCAGCGTGAGTGAATAGAGTAATACTTTTCTCGAAGCTCTCTTTTTTAAGAATGATTTGCTCCACACTGGGTATCTATTTGATTGATTTTGGGGACAAACACCTTTCAATTTTCTGTGATGAACAAAAACCCTGTCATGTTTCTTATTGTTCCCTTGATGTTTCCCTTAAACCTTCTAAGAAGGACATCAATTCTCAGTAACTATGAGGAGCCAAGGTAAAATAAAATTCAAGGTTCAAGTGTTTCAGGTTGGTGATAAAAAAAAAATGCAAAATTAGTTTTGGCAAGTCTATCATATATGGTTTTAGACCACCTTAACATTATCAGTAGTCAACACTGTTGTTTTGAAAGATTATCAAGCAAGGTCAACTATTGCTACTTTTATGACAGGTTTGGCTGGTCTTATGTGATGATCAAGACTTACTTTGGGACTTCAATTCAATAAGCTGTATTGATGACCTTTGCCTAATTGAACAAATTTTTGCCCTTCCGTGAAACAAGTGCAGGCGAGAGCTCAAGAATTTGCTAATCGGTTTACATCCCATTTGATCCTATAGTTGTCATGGAGTTGTTTTGTCACATGACTGATTTGGGTGTGGCTAACTTGGATGAGGAACTTCATCTTTCATACCTTAGACCAATCAAAATGAAGAAAAGGGATTTTGCAGAAGAAGCATGAGCAACAGCGGAGGACCATCTTGCGTGCTAACTTTGAAGAGGCTCATGAGCTAACTAGAGTGTCCTAAGGAAGTTTTGATGCTTGTGAAGATCCAAAACACTTGATTTGGTCTTAACAGCACATACCTGAACGATAGTAAATGTAGTATTTAAAATTGAATCTGCTTTCTGTTTGCCCATTATGGTCTACCTCTGTCAATCAATTACGTAGCTGCTGATATTTTTGTATGTTATGCTGATGTAGAGTTGTTTGATGCGGTTACATTATAATGATATCACTCCTTAACTCGATGAGGCTCTGCAGAGGGAGGTATGCACTAACAGGATCCTCCATTTCTATCATTTATTTGTGTGACAATATCATTTGCATGTCGTCATATAGGTTTCTGATTTGATAAGCTCAGCCTCATGTATGCGGCATTGAATTCGTAAAGTTGAAATTGACCTCACAAATTATCCCGTATTGCTGATTTTGCTGATTAGATATTGCCAATAACCAAGTAACAAATACACCTTTATGTTCTGTAGTTTAGGCACTTCACCTTTTCAACATAATATTATTAACATCAATTCTGCTCCTAAACACAAACAAGGAAAGTGTTGCTAATTGCTTACTTCTCCCAAGTCAGTTGTTTTCTTTTTCATTGGCCAGCTAATGAAGTCTCTGTTCAATGTGGTCCTACTGTGATTGGCGTAAATGATGTTTAGGCATTTGTACCTTATCTTTAGGGGGTAAATTTTGATGCTATGATGTCGGTTTTTTTCATTTACTGATAATTAGGGTGCGCATGACAACCATTCTGTGCCCGGGAACTATTTCTGAACAGAAATGATTTTTTTTTATTCTGTGCCCGGAAACAATTTCTGAACATTTGAAGGCGTTTGGTAACTGTCCAAAATTTCTTTTCTTGGAATAGAAAAAGAACAGAAATGCGTTTGGTAACTGCAGAAAATTTCTATTCCTGGAATAGAAAAAGAATAGAAATGCGTTTGGTAACTGCAGAAAATTTCTATTCTAAATTTTTTTGAAGTGCTTTTTAAAACTTGGTATTAATTCTCATGGAGCACTTACCAATTTTATTTTTTTCTTGTAAGTGAAGGAAACATGGTGATATGTATAATCATGGTATATAGTTGGTACAAACTCTTCCCTCTATCACTCCTAGCAGTGTATACCGTATTTTGACTTTACCGTATTTTTGCTCCTATCGAAGAACTTGGAATTAGAATGGAAACATTACTCCAAATCCAAATATTAGGTAAGTGCTTGTATTGAAGACTTTAAGATGAATCTCATCTAAATCCTTTTCCTTTTTTTCATTATGGAGAAAATTTCTGTGGATGTTTTATTAGTTAAAACTTTAGGTATCACAAAGAAGTGTTGGCAAGAACTTATGTAAGTCCAACTTCCCCCTAAGCAACTACCTAAGCAATCTTGTATAAACAATTTTGACTGGACTAAAATTCAACCTTGAGTTACTAGATTTTTCGTTGATCGACTCATGTCATACCATCAGTAAAGTACATGTAATAAAACAAAAGGAAATGACAAAAGTACATGTAAGGATCATCTCCCATCGTCATGTAGTATTTAAAAATAATATTACAAAAGTCAGAAACACAAATCATGGAATCTCGGGCAAATTGTAATCCCTTGCCATTTTATTTGCAATACTTTTCCTAAGCATGTTTATCTCAGCTGCTTGCTCAAGTGGTGTATCATCCGCAACCTCCACTTCTCTAGCTCCAAATGGGTAGTCTGGATCTCCATAATGAGAAAAGTTTTTGTCCATATTGTCCTCCTCACGAATGTAATTATGGAGAGCACAACATGCAATTACAACAAGTGCTTGCTTTTTTATTGTAAATGGGGGCATGTGTCTCAAAACGGTGAAGCGATTCTTTAATGCCCCAAATGACCTCTCAATGACATTCCTTAGTGAAGAGTGCCTATGGTTAAACAATTCTCTTGCTGTGCTTGGCCGTCTTCCACGCCCCCTATAATCGTTCAAATGATACCGTTCACCTTTAAACGGAGTTAAAAATCCCGGAAGTGATGCATAACCAGAATCTACCACGTAGTATTTGCCTATAACATGGTATATATAAATTTGTTAGAATATGCAATCATAACAATCATAAAGAAAGTTTTTCTTATAGACAAAGCAAATACCTAATGGTGGTCGAGGAAATTGCAGTCGAGGAGTCTCGAGTGCTGCCGAAAGCACCCGACAATCGTTGGCAGATCCTTCCCACCCAGAATACACGAAAGTAAACTTCATATCAAATGAACAAACACACAGCACATTCTGGGTGGTATTCCCTTTCCTACCTCTATATGGGACCTGCTCAGACACAGGGACGGAAGCATTGATATGGGTGCCATCAATAGCACCTACGCAGCCCTGTGCATTTATAAAAATCTAATGTTATACAAGATTATCAACTACATGTATTTGATAATGTAAACTCAAAAAATAAAAACCATACCTTGAAGTATCGTTCATGATTAGGATTCATAAGAATTTCCTGTGGGACAACATCAAAGGACGGTGGTTTGATAACTTCCTTTGAGAGTTTGATAATTGCTTTCAACACTATATTGAAATAGTTGCTAATTGTTTGTCCTGAACGTTGGAATCTCTCACATAAATCTCTATTGGAGTTATTGTGACAAACCATAGATAAGAATATCCCAACTTGTTCATCTATCCTAATAAACCGACTATCTTTCAACCAACCTTTTGCCCTCATTAATTCACATAGGTTCAGAAAAACATGTCTCTCCATCCTGAAGGCTTCATAGCATCTATCTGAATGTCCATAAACAATCTCCCTTATCCATTCAGGTCCTGATAGTTTGCTGTCCCTAATAGGTTCTCTCGTATGCATGGACATGTCCTCCGCAATGATGCACGACCATCCTATCAATATATATACATCATCATCATCCAATAATTGTTCATCTGGATCTACCTGCCCATTAGACACACTATTTGATCCCCCTTCCATAGTACCTATATTATCACACAAATACAAGAACATCAATATAGATATGTAAAAAAAAAAAAATCCAATCACAACCAATAACATAAGTCATAAAGTGAAAGCAAACCAAATATATAAATAGCACCTAAACAGTTTGGTGTACCCATGGCACCACAAAAGTACAAGAGTCTCAAGATCAATATCTCTAAAAACCAAATATCAAGTACTAACATAAGTCATACAATCAAATGAAACCTCACACAATCAACAGTACATTTCCCAACATCTAGTAAAGAGATTCAATAAGTGCATTTTTCCATTCAGCTGGGGTTTTGATGAAAGCCTCCCTCCATGTGGCACTAACACATGCTCGTTCTATAGCTTTGCTATAACGATCTGGTCCCAAGTCGGGCATACTAAGTAGGCTATCAATGACGGCGGATACGGAGTAAGGGTCCACTGGTGGTTCTGTGACCCGTGAGGTGGCAGAGCCACTCACAGATTGACTTGTCTTAGTTTTGATCAGCTCCTGTATAGCTTTGCAAGTGTCAGCAATGCAAGATGAGGTATTCTTTCTTCTCCTCTTGGCATTTGGAGTCCTATCCAAACGGTGCTTCACATGAACTGGATCAGCACTATTGCCGGATGTAAAGACTGTCTCATCAATGTGGTGATCACTCAAGTCCTTTAGATCACCGTCTGCATCGCCACCGCCATTGTCACCTTCCTCTGACACCGTCAAATCTTCGGCATTTCCTATGGCATGCTCCCCAGTAGCATATGTACCACCAAATACAATACACAGCTCAGGATACTGGGGAAATCCATCCTTCTTGAATTTTGTCCACTCACTATTATCCTACAATTTTCACAATAATGACATGTCAAAAACATAATGAAACATTTTTAAACTTACATGTACAATGAAATCAAAATAATCAAAAGTTAAAAGATACCTTGATGTGAGATTCCCAAATACTTGGATCGTCGACAACAACAGTTTTATTCACATTATCCCAGCCAAATCCGGATTGCGAAAGAAGCTTCTTAAAACTACCATACTGTTTCCTCAGTTTGTTCACCTTGTTCTTCAACTGAACTAGGGTATATTGGTATCCTGACTGTTTAATGAATTCAGTCCGTATATTATTCCACCCAACTTTGTTGTAAGTAGAAGATGTGCGATTTCCCTTTTTGACCTCCTCAACCAACAAACTTACAAACATGTTGGTTAAAGGCTCAGTCCACTTTGCATTGAATATCTCTTTTTGAGATGCCATGTAACCTTGATAGATTGAGAATCATATGAGTCATGCATTAAATCAATAACATAGTCATGTAAAGATAAGAGAAGAGAAAAAAATCACGCCCCGCATAACATCCAAGCATATCACTAGTCAGATGATGTTCCCACAGTTTGTCGGATGCTGATCAATAAAGCTTTTCAAGCTTTTCCTCCATCGAAGGACCCATAGGAACACGACCTGCTTACAAATTACTCGAACGACCCGAGAGAGCAAATCGCTAGAAGCAAAAAACGCGAGGAGGAAGGGGCCAGGAAGAGCGACAGGAGACGCCACTCGACACAAGAACTAAGGGAGATTATAAGGTATGGAAGATGACACGAACAAGATCATTTATCATATGGTGCTTCCTCGGATGTTACACACGCACCCAGGAATCAGTTTTGAATAAAACCTCGGCAGTCCATACATACGGCTTCTTGATGATGACAAAACATGCAGAGACGACAGTAGAAGATAAGGTGCAGGGTATCCGACTCCAAAGAACATTTACAATACATACGGCTTCTTGACTAGTGATATGCTTGGATGTTCTGCGGGGCGTGATGTTATTGTCAACATATAACTCACTGTAAAGATAATTCAAGCTTGCTCATTGACAACTATTGAAAAGTATACCCAAACAGCAGTGCAAATTCAATATGCTTGCCTAGACACTAGAATGTTAATACTCCTAATGGTCTTCTTATGCACATACCGCACAATATAATGCACCTACGTAACAAATACAGATTGTCCACCATGAATAACCACAAGAAAGTCTCGCTTTGCGATAACCACAGTGAGGATTTTACCTTTGCGAATCAACTTGGACAAATAATAGAAAGCACTGGGATGTAAGCGTGGAGATGAATCCAGGCGTAACAACTTCTACTCAAATTGACTAATCACCAATTAGCTTGTTCAATCTGATAAAGAAAACAGAATAACCATTTAGTAAATGAAAATAACCACCCCAATGCAAAAAGGATCGCCGTTGTGAAAAGCAACAGAAAATTAACGCAAGACGATTACCAATGACCAACACCGTATCACCATAATTGCATAAAACAACTTCGAGCGAGCGCGGCCCTCACCCAAATTCGCGAGGGCGGCGGTTGCTCGAGCGAGAAGGAGCCCAAATGGGCGAGGGCGGCACCGCTCGAGCCTCGCCGTCGCGCCCAGACGGCGAGGGCCACGGACTTGCTCGCTTGGGCAACCGTCGCCGATCTGGGCCAGGGCTCGCTCAAGCGAGCATGGCCTCGCCGATCCGGGCGACAAAGAAGGCTCGAGCGCGGCCTGGCTCGAGCGACCGCGGCCCTCGCCCGTATTCGCGAGGGCGGCGGCCGCTCGAGCGAGAAGGAGCCCAAATGGGCGAGGCAATGCCCGCTCGAGCCTCGCTGTCGCCCTTGATCGGCGGCGGCCGCAGACGCGCGCTCGCTTGGGCAACCGTCGCCGATCCGGGGGGGGCTCGCTCAAGCGAGCACGGCCCTCGCCGATCTGGGGCGACGGCGCGAGGCTCGAGCGAGCGCGGCCTCACTCGGCGAGGATCGCGCCTCGCCCGTGATTCGCGAGGCGGCGGTCGCTCTAGCGAGAGCGAGCCTAGATGGGCGAGGCCAACGCTCGCTCGAGCCTCGCCGTCGTCGATCGGGGCAAGGGCTCACTCGAGCGAGCGCCGCCCTCGCCGTGGCTCGGGCGACGGCGGCGAGCTTCGGCGAGCGCGGCTCTCGCCCACTCGCTCCAGCTTGCTGTCGCCCAGACCGGCGAGGGCAACGCTTGCTCGAGTGAGCCCTTGCCTAGATCGGCGATGGTTGCTCGAGCGAGCGCCGTCGAACGAGAAGGAGCAAAAGGAGCAAGTCATCAGCAAGAACTTACCTCGAACGAGAAGGAGCAGCCTCGTCGGTGTCGGTGAAGGAGCAGCAGCGGTGAAGGAGCAGAGCAGAACGAGCTCTGCGCAGGAGAGGAGTAAAAAGTGATTCCAAAATTGTTTCTTATTTTGGAACCTCAGCGCTTCCAAAATTGTTTCTTATTTCTGTGCCGAGAATCAAGAAGCTAGTTTTTTTTACTTCTTGTTTCTCTTCCAAAACTGTTTCTCGGCACAAATTTTTGCAAAAATGTGCCGAGGAATAAAAAACTTACCAAACGCATTTCTGTTCCCAAACCGTTTCTGGGAACAAAAGAACAGAAATTTTTACTATTTGGCACGTTACCAAACGGGCCCTTAGTCAGTGCCATTCTTCTTGTGTAGTTCAAGCTGCATTTCATGAAACTCAGAGATAGTCCCCAAACACCACAGGATGGAGATACAGGCAGGAATGAGCTATGTCATTATGGAAAGGCATTCCGAAGTTCCTTGCTATTGGCTTTTATCATGTGCACCGTGTTGTTAATACTCTTCAAATGATTCTTGATATAAAGCGACCTCTTCTCATGTGGTGTTTTAGTCCTTTGCAAGCTTTGGCATGGTGCCAATCTTCAGCAATAGCCAAATCACAACTCTCTTGCATGAAGACCGCATGTGCAGGTGGTTCTATATGTGTAAGTTAAGCATAAGTCATATTTCCTCAACAGAGGTAAATAAGTAGCGAACAATCATTTTTCTTCTGAGATTCATGACTTACTTTTCATCACTTTCTTCTTTCAACAAGAAGGTTTTCCATGACAGGGTCCTGTACTTTCCTAAATTGCTAGTCTTACGTAGTTGGAAGGAGTGGGGGAGTTGGTCATAGAAGCTGACATGATGCTTCAGCCAAGATCAAAATGTAGACCCGAATGTCAATAGAAGGCTTTGGTCATTTAGTAAGATTCTTCATTCTTGAACAGCAAGCGTGAGCGGAAAGAGTAACACTTTTCTCGCAGCTCTATTTTTCAAGAATGATTTGCCCCACACCAAGTATCTATTGGATTGATTTTGGAAACTCCAGATTTGCCTACATATATTGTTGGGAAAATTCCAATTAAGGATCCCAAGTGGGGTCAAATTCTCAAAAAGGGGTCCAAAGTGAATATTGTGTCAAATAAGGGCTTAAAGTGCTCAATCAGTCTCAAATAAGGATCCGAAGTACCCAAAAAGTCTCAAATAAGGGTTCCTTTTATGTTTTTTTTCTTTTCCTTTTCCTTTTCTTTTCTTCCTCCGCCGGCCATAGCGGGCCTGGCGGAGTTCTGCAGGCCAAGGCGAGGCCGCCTCGCCGGCGTCGGGCGAGGGCTACCCTCGCCGGGCCGGGCTGGGGCCTCTCCGATTCTGCGGGCGAGGTCGAGCCTCGCCAGATCCTGGCGAGGCCGACCTCGTCGGCGTCAGGGCGCAGGCCTCGCCGTTTCCTGCAAGGACTCGACCTCGCTAGCGTTAGGCGGGCCGGCCCTCGCCGAGGTGCGGGCGAGGTCGAGCCTCGCCCCGATCCGGGCGAGGCGGCCTCACTCGACGCCGCAAGAGTGGCTCGCCCACCCCGAAGGCGAGGCGACCTCGCCACGGCCAAGGGCGAGGCGGCCTCACCCGGCCCAGGCGAGGCGGTCTCGCTGAGGCGGCGGGCGAGAGGGGAGAAAAGAAAAAAAAAGAAAAGGAAAAGGAAAAGAAAAAAAAAAAAAAAGAAAAAAGGAAAACAGAAGAAAATAATAAAAAAAAATTAAAAATTATTGCATTAGGTGTCTGAACAAGTAACTTTCTCGGCCAAGCAGGTATTTTGACCTACGGGGACCCAGGTCCTTATTTGAGACTTTTTTAG